CCTGCTGCTACGGCGCCCACGGCCCCTGCTGCTACGGCGCCCACGGCCCCTGCTCAGCTCCCAGTGACTGCTCAGCTCCCCGTGACTCCTGTGTTCCCCGTGACTCCAGTGCCTTCCACAGCGAGCCCCGAGGCCCCTGCTGAGGCGCCCCCTGCTGGCCGCACACCTGCTGAGGCGCCCCCTGCTGGCCGCACGCCTGCTGAGGCGCCCCCTGCTGGCCGCACGCCTGATGGCGCCGCTCTGCCCACGGCTCCTGAGCTCCCAGCTCAGCCTCCCAAGGCCCCTGTCCCCAAGGAGGTCCCTGACTGCTGCACTGATGCTCCTCCCTCCGCAGTGGACTTGGAGGAGGAGCTTGAGTGGGACCCCTCGGGGATTGCTTTGACTGCCCCCGTGGCTTCCCCTGTGACTGCCCCCGTGGCTTCCCCTGTGACTGCCCCCGTGGCTTCCCCCGTGACTCCTCCGCCATCACCCCAGTGTGACAGACCCCAGCCGGGTCCCCGCCTCTCAGTCTCCCGGAAAGGGCGGGGACACCTGCGTCGGGCCCGGGTCCCGCCTGCCCTGCCCCCTGGCTCGCCCGTTCGGCCCCTGGCGGTCGCTCTGTGGCTGCCTGCGGCTCCTCCGGCTCTGGATCGGCGGTCCCCTCGGGGCCTCTCCCCGGTTCCTCGGTGCCGGTCCTCGGCGTCGCCTCCGGTTCTGTGTCGGCCGGCTCCGGCTTCCCCTCCTCCTGCTCCGGCTTCCCCCTCCTACCTGCCTCCGCTGGTGTTCCCTCCTGCTCCCTCCATGTCCCCTCCGTCTCTCCCTCGTCCCGTTCCCTCGGCCCCTGTGTGGTTCCCTCCTGCTCCCTCCTCCCTGTCGCCTGCGGTCCCTCCGGCCGCTGCCCGTCGCCCGCCTGGGCTCTCTCTGGCTCCCCTGGCTCCGCCTCCCTTTCCCACCATCCCGCCTGTGTTTGCTCCTTGTCCCTCTGTTCCTCCTGTGGTTCCTGTGTTCACTCCTGGCCCCTTTGTGTCGCCGTTCGGTGTTCCTTCTGTGCCCTCTGTGTCTCCCTTCTTTGTCTGTCTGTCTGCGTTCCCTGTCCTTTGTCGGGTTTTGTCTTGGTTCATGTCCTTGTTCTTGTTCTGTGTCTCTGTCTTGTTTCCTGTTTCTCGTTGATGTTTTTGGTTTTTGTCTTTCAGGTCCTGTTCCCCGGTCTCGTTTCGTCCGTCGCCTCCTCTCGGGCACGCCCGGTGTGCGTGCCTTTGGGGGGGATTCTGTCACACCCCGCTCCGTCCCATCCTAATGTGTGCCACGCCCCCTCGTTAACCTCATGTGGAATCCCAGTGTTTTACAGCTGTTTCGGATTGTTGTCATTAGTTCAGTGTATTTAGTCCGCGTTCCCGTTTGTATCCCCAGTCCGGTCATTGATGTTGCTGTTTGTTGTCGTGCTTCCCCGGTCCTGCTTCCCGTAATAAATCCACGTTTGACCCTACTTCCTGGCTCCTCTTCCCTGCTTCCCTGCTTGCCTTCAACCCGATCGTGACAGTCTGGCTCGATTTGGTCAATACCTATGGAGCAATCCCCCATGGCCTCATTAATGTAGCAATGGAGCATTACCATATTCCATGACACATCAAGGATATGATCACCAACTACTTTGAAGGATTCAAGTTGCACTTCCAGACTGGCCATTTCACAATCCAGTGGCAGGATCTGGAAAAGGGCATCATAATGGGCTGTACCATCTCCCCTATCTTGTTCATCATAGGGATGAACCTGCTCATAACAGCTGCAAGGAAGGAATCCAGAGGGCCAATGATGGAGTCTGGCATTCGCCAACCTCCAATAAGAGGGTTTATGGATGACCTGAACATCACAACAGCTAATCATGTACAAGCTAGATGGATCCTGAAGGCACTAGACGACGTGGCAATGTGGGCTTGGGTGAGATTCAAGCCGAAGAAGTCTAGAAGCATGGTGATAAGGAATGGTAAAGTGACCGTTCCAACTGCAAGTCCAGGGGGAGGCCATACCATAAATTGAGGAGAACCCAATAAAATGCCTCAGCAAGTGGTACAATCCATCCCATAACGATAGAAACAACATATCTATGATAGAAAAGCAGACAGATGAATGGCTGAGGAAGATGAAAAGATCAGGCTTACCAGGAAAGTTCAGAGCCTGGCTATTCCAGCATGGCTTGCTACCGCGACTTTTGTGGCTTCTGACAATTTTTGAAGTATCAATGACAACGGTGGAAGGAATCGAGCGGCGAGTCAACAAGCACCTACGAATATGACTTGGCATCCCACCAAGCTTCACGTCAGTAGGGTTCTACATTAGGTCTGGCCAGTTGTTCAACAGATCAAAGTGGCAAAGTGCAGGACTGTGATGACCTTCAGGGACTCCACCAATGAGAAGATCTGAGGTGCGGGTGTCACTACACGATCGGGACGCAAATGGGCAGCAGGCACAGCGGTGGCTCAGGCAGAAAAGACCCTGAAGTTGAAGGACGTCATCGGGAACCCATGCATCGGGTACCAGGGACTTGGAACAATCCATTTCCAGCAGTGGGGGAAGGCAGACAAAAGACAGAGGAAAGGCATGGTCCAAGATGAGATTCGACAGTTAGAAGAGGAGGGAGGAATGTCTCGAGATGTTGAGTATGACAAAGTGGGACTTGGCAAAACGTAAGATCACCTGGTCTGAACTTTGGAGACTGGAGCCCTTCCGTATCTCGTTCCTGCTCCGATCAGTGTATGACACCCTCCCAACACCAACAAACCTGCACAGGTGGGGACTGAGGGAGGACCCTCTGTGCAGGTTATGTGGAGAAAGAGGAACAATGGTGCACATATTGGCTGGGGGTAAGACTGCGCTCAGCCAAGGAAGATATCAATGGTGCCATGACAAGGTTCTTAGGACACTGGCCGACATTTTGGAGCAGGAGAGACGGAAAAAGTGTCAAACTCTCACGAGACCTGCACCATCTAATTCGTCAGGGCGGGGGAGAGACCACCATCCTCCAAGAAAACCATGAAAGGCCTCCTGCACGCAGCACTATCATGGGAGATGAGGGTGGACATGGGGAGAAAACTCCTTTTTCCCCAGGTGGTCCAAACCTCCCTGAGGCCCAACATGGTCATATGGTCCAAGGAGGCCAAGAAGATCATCCTGATTGAATTGATGGTCCCATCGGAGGATGGATGTATCGAGGCCTCGGAACGGAAGAGCACCAAATATCAGGACCTGGTCCAGCAGTGCAAAGACAAAGGGTGGCAAGTCTGGCTATTCCCAGTTGAGGTCGGCTGCAGAGGCTTTCCTGCACAGTCAGTTTGGAGGGCGCTTACAGCGCTGGGAATGGCAGGGAGGGAGAGGAAGAAGGCTGCTCGCCGGTTGGGCGAGGCAGCGGAGAGAGCCTCTTGTTCGCTATGGATTAGGAGGGAGGAATTAAGCTGGAGGCCAGGAGAGGAAGGGCAGTGACTGGCCATTACTGCCGACCCGCCAACTGAATGACATCATGGTTCAGGGTCGAAACACCAAAGGAAATTTGGACACCACCTGATGACATCATCTCCTGGTCAAAAGCTTCAGTCACTTCTTGAGTGACTATAGGAGGATGCAGGATTGTAATCTATCGAGGCACTGCCAGAGAAATTGAGTCGCCTCTGGCATTAGAAAGTTGCTTCCACCTTTCACTTGGCTGGTTTTTGGTCATTCCCAGTGTCTCCTACTTCCCCTTGTTCTTGTGTACTGCTGACTTAGAAACATTGAGCCCGGAAACAACCTACCTGACGGTGTAGCCTTCTGCCAGCAGAATCGGGACTAAATCAGGATTTAAAAATGCAGATCTTTAAAAAATATATCGTGGTCTCTTAATTTTTTCCAGAGCTGTACATAAAAACCGGTTGCAAACAGCATCTGCCCATCTGTTTGGCTATTTACACCAATCCTCCAAAGTCCCTGCCCCCTGCCAACACTGTGAAACAAACATAAAAGCAATAATAATAATAATAATAATAATAATAATATCATTGCATACTAACACCTGGTTGCAAATAGCAACTGCCATTTTTTCATCTAATGTAATTTTATGTAATTTATAAAAATCATATAAACTAATAGCTAAAGGAACATACTTCAAAGGAAAGTTAAAAGAAATTTCATTGATACCTCAGTCTGCTGAAAACGGTGCTACTTAATGTTCCTAGTCTTTCTTCTGGCAAGTGGCGTGTGGGAGAGCAATTGAGTACTGTACCTATATCTGCTCTGCAGATGGTGAGATATCGGTCGATGGCCACCACTGTGAGGAGTCCGATGCTGGCCATGCCAAAGAAGATGTTCAAAGCTGCATAGACCTGTGGTGGCAAGGTTCATCAGCTGGTAAGAGGGAAGTGCCATGCACTTCCTAACGTAACATGATGGCTTTGGGTTACATGATACAATCATCGTTGATCCCATCTAAGGACACCAAAAGAGCAACCAGGTAAACTACTAATCATTACAAGGTCTGCATTCTAAAGCATTAATTTGTGACTATATTCACAGAATTCTTTGAAAATTTTATGGTTCAGATAAGGAAAGTATTAAAACAAATACAAGACAGTTTCATTTTGCTTAAAAATCCTAATTTTGTCATTCACAGATTGTCATGATGTGACAGCCCATAGCAGCCCATATCTGGGACTCTTCAGCCAAGACAGGTTCTGCAATCTAGATTTCTGACCGTACGACTGCGCATGGCTGATTCGGTTATCTACACAGCTGGAACACCTGGCAGCCAGTGAAACCAAACTTCCAGCTGCCGTGGAGGTCTGAGGCAGCGGACATGGGGTAGCCAATGCTAGCGACGCCGATGTCGGTGAAAGCCAGGTTGATGATGATGGCGTTCGTCGCATTGCACAGCTCCTTGAATTTGACAAACATGAGTAGGACCACAATGTTGCTCGCGATGCTGATTACCCCTGCAAGAGAGGGGTGAGACGTTACTGTGTATTAATCTAAATATATATTAATACACATATGCTGTGTTTTTTCTTACTCGGAATCTATTTTAATTATGTTTTATTTCATCTCCAAACTCCAAATAAAAAGGTTTTGGATTTTTCTGTCAATATTGTAGTATTAAATAGATCTTTTTGTGATAATTTTCAGTTGGATAAAGAACTTTTAAAATCTCCAGCGCGCGTGCTGAGGATATGAATTTGTAAGCGTCCATGTTCCAGAACAAAAGCGTCCATTGTAGTGAATCCAGCACCTTAATCGTCTCTGAATCCTGTTCAGAAAAGTGCAGTTTAAACCACAAATGAATCCTTTGTAATCATGACACTGATTAGTTCTCTTGTTAAAGTGTATGACAAAGAATTGTGGGAGTTTTGGAAAGACTGCATGTGCAGGTTTGGCATAAAGCCTTTTTAAATCACATTTTTGAGGATCTTATTTTGTTATGGAGCTGCAGATTATTGATCCTACTATCATATAATTTAGATTTTTTTAAATAACATGAAATATGCTAAGAAGATAAGCTCTTAACTGGTAATATTGGAAAGATGTAAAGATGGAGACATCGCACTACAGACAGGACATGTAGGTCATTTGCAAACATTTGCAACATGAAAAAAACAAGTTCATACACACACTAATTGATTTCATTGTAGTCTCTAAGGTTTCCATAGAGACTGGTCTCCTGACCAGTAAGAAACTTTCAGTTTTGAAAGAGTATTTAAGTTTATAATTAAAGCACTACAAATCTCTATAGAGACTTTAAAGAGATTATTTAAGATCAAGAATCACACGATTTAAATTTAGGGTTTCACTGTCCTGCACACAAGCTACATCAAAATGGCAGCACCTGAGGACTTGCTGAACAACTTTCCGCATTCATGATACTTGATACAAGCTGACACACGTAATTTCATGTGTTCAGTTATGACACATTGAAAGTCTGCACCTTTTTAAGTTGGAACGGCAGATCCAGCAGTAGTTACACGGCCACATAGGAACATAAGAACATAAGAAATTTACAAACGAGAGGAGGCCATTCGGCCCATCAAGCTCGTTTGGGGAGAACTTAACTAATAGCTCAGAGTTGTTAAAATCTTATCTAGCTCTGATTTAAAGGAACCCAAGGTTTTAGCTTCCACTACACTAGCAGGAAGACTATTCCATACTCTAACTACACGCTGTGTAAAGAAGTGCTTCCTCAAATTTGTTTTAGAATGTTCTCCTGCTAATTTCCACGTATGGCCACGAGTTCTAGTATTTAAACTAATATCGAAATAGCCATGTGGCTGAACAGCATCCAGACCTGTTAGAATCTTATATACCTAGATCATGTCCCCCCCTAGTCTCCTTTGCTCGAGGCTGAACAGATTCAGCTCAGCTAACCTCTCCTCATAAGGAAAATAAGGAGTTTGAACCTCCGCAACATATCAGACATGTAGCCACCTAGTAGCCTACCCCAGAACAGGGTATTTATGGTTCCAGTGCTCTGGATGCTCCTTTTAATGCGTCACCCTAACAAACACAGTGACTTTACCTGCAGTGATTAAGTATCCAGCCACAATGTTGTGCTCCATCTGTGAAAATACAGAGTGTCCCTCGCCTATGTCACCATCTCCTGTGTCGTTAGACATCTCCCCCCTTTCGCTCAGATGACCTGGACTGAAGTACTGGGTGGAGGTAGCTGCCTTGGTCCCTGTAATACTCCCAGCAACAGTCCATGTGAGGCAGCCCTGCAGTGAAGCTCTCTGCTCAGAAAGATTTAAGGGGCTGGCAGCTTATTCTATTTTTTATTTTTTGGAGGATAGGGGGCTGGGGTTTGAATGAGGGATTAGGCTTTTTCTGCCTTTTTCCCTCCACAATCCTTGACAAAAGGGGACGCCTGTTCCCCAAGTCCCTGGGAAGGATCAGAGGAGATTATTTGTCACATGAGCACATGAAGGACAGCTGCTGCTTGCTGCCCTGAGTGAATGTGTTGGCTCGCAAAGGGGTGAGGAGATCTCTCTCTCTCAGGGCACCGTGGTCCACCCGCACCTTCCCATCTCCTCCCGCACCTGGAATCTACGCTTTCCCACAGAGGCTTGTCATTGTTCTTTATTCCTGTCTATGCAAGGAAATGGAATTCTGGGAAAGAATGTCCTGAAAGGAGCCAGCAAAGAAAATGGCATCAAATGGCCTTACTAACAAAGCCCAAATTATTTTGAAAACAAATTAAGAATATGCTACAAACATCTCTTCCTTCACTCAGAGCTGCTAGAGTTTTTTGCTTTGCACATTTGTTATGTTCCGATTTTAGGACGCTGCTATATTAAGCCTACAAGCTGACAGAATACTGATGGACATTACTAGCCCCTACTCTGAAGAAAACCAGAGTTTTTCCTGTCTCATCGCAAACAGTCATTTGATCCAGCAAGCACTTTAATAGGAAAATGCTCTCCATAATTTCTATTTGTTTGAAATTTTGATGTTGTATTGACAAAAACAAAAGAGTGACATAAAATAAATGCTATAACCATCGTTTATATTTTATGTATATTTTAGTTTTTTGTATTTTGAATTTGTACCTCTTAACTGCTGTGCTATGGATTACTGATTTTAAGAAACTGGATAGTTAGAGCAGAACCAAGTTGTACATGGAAGTTAAAAACTTTTTCTGTTTTTCTGTTTTTTTTTTCTTTCAGACCAAGTCAAGTCCAAGACAAAGTCGAGACAAGACCAAGACCGAGACTGAGATTGAAAAAAAAAAGACTCCCTTAACTTTTGAGTGCTGTTGATGACTGACATTACGGGTACTGACTGGTCCCAAAGTCATCTGACAAAACACCTCCAACAACTGTCTAAAGAATGGGAAATATGTAACTGATTTCAATTATACTTAATTTGTAGATTAAATTGTAACATCAAATTGAAGACACACAATTATAAACGTGAAATTGCATCATGTCCCATTGTAGTAGTACTAGCCAAATGACACTGTATGATATCAACGTCCCTAAAATGGATTAGGCCTGTTAAGTCAACACATCGTCATATGCAGATGTTATTTGAAATCCAATGGTCACATTTATTTAGTCAACACCATTTTAAGTAAAATACTGTAATCAAACAATATAAAGACATGTGCACACGTCACATGAATCAAATGCAAACTACAAATACTATATACCAATACAAACTGCAGATCAAATTGTGCATTAATAAAAATAAGGACAAGGGCTTAAAAGATTCTGACATCTTGATGTCTGCAGTGGCATGTGATTACAACACACTGCCAGTGATATCAAGCCTGTTGTTCAGTAGGGCAAGAACAATAGAACACAGACATTATGGACAAATAACAGACTGATAAACTAATACAGTTAGATGAAATACTTAAAAACTGAGAGATAGAGAGAGAGAGAGAGAGAGAGAGAGAGAGAGAGAGAGAGCGCGCATCACTGTTAATAGGCATATTTTCAGAGAGGAGAGAGAGAGAAAACAGTTCACATTTTAAAATAGTGGTTGATTGCACTTCAGGAAAACTAAAGATTGCAACATCTTATAGCCTGTGATGCTGGATCTAACGTTGAACTAGCGCTACACTTATTTTGCGCATATAACGCGTATTTTGATTGGATGAGCGCCAATGTCTGAATCACAACAAAATGCATGTATATCATTGATTGGTTGCATTTGAAGGGCGTGAAAGGCGAAATAATAATAATAATGTTGCATTATCAAATGTTACGTTATGTGTCATGGATACTTTTCGCTCCAAATCTCCCGACCACTATGTCGATCTGAGACAGCAAGACCAAGACAGCGAGACCAAGAAAAGACCGAGGGATCCGAGACCAAGACAAGACCACGTAAAAGTGGTCTCGAGACTAATACCGAGACCAAGACAAGATCAAGACCAAAGACCGTCGAGACTGTGACAAGACCAAGAAAAAGTGGTCTCGAAACCAATACCGGTCTCAAGACATCCAACTCTAGTGTTAATAGCAGCAGCGAAGCGAACACCCGCAACCAAAATGCCATAATATTCCTAACAGAGTGACTGGTCTGTCCTGAAATCATACAGCTGAAAAGTTTTCAAATACATTAAGTATTATATAACATGTTGGAGAAATAGATGTAGTTCATTGGTGACTTCGTGTTTGTTTCAGCTTTTAAAACAACTGTATAAAGTAATGTTATTTGTTATATAAATCAACTTAGGTGAAACACAAATGTATGTTTTCAGGGTTGCCAAATCTCAAGCACCTGGCATGACACGCTTTCAGACTCACGCAGTAAATCTATATTATTCCATTATAAATGTCATGAGGCACGGAACGGGGAAGCAGGAGTCGAGTGAACACAGGGTTTAATTAGGAAACCACGCTCAGGTACATATACAACCACTACACAACGTTAGGGTAAACATTGTGTAAACATACACGATGCTATCACAGCGAATGTGAAGCTGAGACTGAAGCGTTACCCTTTGTTTCCGCTGAGAGACGTGCCGCATGACTCATTTAAGTTATCTTATTTCAGCGTTCACAGTTCGACTTCTGAGATTCAGATCGACTCCTAGGTAATTTTTTTCAAACTGGTTGGTTCGACTTTTAAGAATTTTGAGTTACTTCCGGACCTTTGCTTCATAAATGGACTGATGCCATCCAGGTCACCCTTCATGATCCCGAGCACCAAGTCAGACATCAGCCTTGGTCATGCAGAAAACCACAAGGGTTATACCTTATCAAATCACCCAGAGTACTCAGACAGCAATCAGATATCTGATTTTGTTTTTGAAATCTACAAAAGGATTAACCTTAGTCAAAAACTTTCAGAGCTGTACATGTTGTATCAATTGAGCTACAGTATGAACGTTGCAAGTTGGACTGAACGACTTGTTTGGTAAAATCCATGAAATTAATTAGGACTGTAGTTTGAAAACTAGTAGATACCGACCTAACATTTGGGATTTCTCTAAGTTTAATAAAGGAACGCCTGTACATTTTTTTCCAGAGCAATCCGTGAGGGTGACCAGGTAATTTTTTCTCAAACTAGGTGATCTGATATGAACAACTCAGCTTAACTCGGACAAACGGAGATGGTGATGGCAGATTCATTTAATTTGAATAGTCAGTCTATTGATCGAATAAAGGCTGACTGCAAACCTGGAGTCTATCCCAGGAAGTACAGGGCAAAAGGCATGACACCTGGAACAAAATTCCTTGGAAGACACACTCACATAATCACACACAATGGCAATTTAGACACACAGACTTTCCTAACTGCATATTTTTGAGGTAGCTAAGCATGCAATGATAAGTCACAGTACAAATTCAGGACGATTCGAATCATGGTAATAAATGAACCGATTATTATTAGACTGCATCACCCAAGTTTTTCCTAGTTGTAATTGTTCTGTTTAGACAGCAGATGGCGTAATAACTTGGCCTGTCTCACACCAGCAACCGATGCAACTGGCACATTTACCACGGAATGACAAACGCAGATACAGTAGTGGTAAAATTATTATTTTATGTTTAAGCCTGACTACAACCTTCACAAATGCTCATAAATAGTTAAGAAAAGGCCTATTTGTGAAGAACTTTTCTCATTTTTAATAAAAGGAATGAGTTAATGGGCCATATTTTATACCAACCTTTATTATTTATTTAACAAAAGGAATATTTAACTTGAGAATGTGAAAAATATCCACTTTTATTTTTTCTCAAAAATATGGTGGGAACCGAATCATGAGTTGGGGAATCATTACATGCCTACAGGGAACCCATGAAGACACAAGAGGAGAGTGAAAAATGCACACACACCCAGGGTCTGCAATCAGACCCCCAACCTAGAGGCAGTGGTGGCACAATCCAATTAGGCTCCCATTCTGCCTGAAATCAAAGACAATCTCTAACACCATAATTACACTCTGCCATAGCTTACAAGTGCATAAACTGTAGCAGTCCCTATTTACCAAATCAACATCATAACATAATTTTTTAATTATGAACTACTTTTCAGCACATAATTCAGTCTATCATCAAAAGAAAAAAAAAGTTACAAGTGTAACAGAACCAAGGTAGCACTGAAAATATGCAAAAGTTTTATTTGCAAACACTTTCATTCTTCAAAGCAGGATAATTTCAGGCACAACGAGGAGACCATGGGCAATGCAGGCAAACAATGGAAAAGTACTGACTGAAATACCTATAACAATTCAGGATTCATTCTTGAATTAAAAAACATCCATACCAAATTTAAAAACAACAAGACACACCTTAACATTTATCTTCAATGCCCAAAAATATCTGATGATGCTTAAAAACAAATGACTTGTGAGTTAAATTAGAAAAGGATCCCACTGTACACATAGATGTGAGGTGGGCAGAACAGATAGAACAGTCAATACTTAAAAACGAAAGGCAGTAAGGCGGGAAACGGTCAGCGTGTCCAGGAAGAAGCATCCGACGAGGAAGAGCTGCTCCTTCGGACATGTGCAGCAAAACCCAGGACTGCGAGTGACGTGTCCCTGAATCACCTCCCACCTGTGACAGAGAACAGCGTCAGGAGGCAAACCTAACCCACGCGGACCTTACATGTGAAGACCGGGTCAAAAAAATAAAAAAAACATGCATTACTGTCATTGCACAGGTACAGGAACAAAGGCAATGAAATGTAGTTTAGCAACTACGAGAAGTATAAGATGAGGAGCCACCGCTGCATGCCATATGCAAAAGTGAAAGTTTACATTCTCTGAATATGCAGCACGAATTACAATATGAGAGATGAGTTAGTACACACAGTATGCACTATACAGTATGCAGCACACGCAGTATGGATATTTAACAGGTACAGAGATTGCACATTACAAGATACCATCCAATATACTTTCTACTGCAGTATTGTGTCACCTTGTTTTATTGCACTACTTCACTGTCACAGTGATATTTTGCAAGCAAGTTGTTCACTCTTTTGCACTTAAAGTGTCAAGTGATGCGACACAAAATGGCCAGCAGAACAAACACGGCTCACATACACAATGTTCATGAGCAGCTCCACTAAGGAGATCTACAGCCTAAAGAGGACTATTTCAGAAGAAACTCCATAAACATTCTATTTCACCCCAAGAAATTCCATAAACATTTAACTTACCCCTGAATCCACGGCCGCCTCCACCTCCTCTTGCTCCCCTGAATCCTCCACCTCCTCTTCCAAAGCCGCCTCCTCGACCCCCACCAAAGCCACCACCCCTGCCACCCCGGAAGCCACCTGTACAAAAAGCAGCAGCAGGCAGGTGAATTAAGGAATTAAGGGGCAAATACAGCAGACTGCTGGAATCACCCAGAGTACCAGTTTGTGTCACCAAGATTCCTTGCCTTATAGGCCTCCTTGGAGACATTTCAGAGATACTTTTCTAGATGACTTGAATAGATGTTTGACATCGTTACAATGAAGGACACCATTACCTCCGCTACACCTACAGTGTATATAGAAAGTGCACACACCCCTGTTAAAATGCCAGGTTTTTGTGATGTAAAAAAAAAAGAGACCATGATAAATCATTTCAAAACATTTCCCACCTTTAATGTGACCTATAAGTCAATTATCCACTGTATACCTACAGAATGGGTGGGCAATATGGCCAAAATGTCACACATGATATTTTTGGTTAGAATCACAATACACGCTTATCAAGGATACTACAAATGTACTACAAATGGGACAATATGCTTTTTTTCTTGATATGATTGATGCACAATAGGGGGTGTACGATTCCATACCAACTATACATGAAAAAAATTAAAATTACACCCAAGCACGACTGAAGAGAACAAGCGTGCCTTTATTTGTTCAATTAATGTTGTACACGGAATACAATACCAGTCAAAAGGTTTTGCACACCGCAGGTTTTTACCACTTTTCAATTTATTTCATAAACTGCAGATTTTAAAATTTTGTTAAGCATTGGAAAGTTGAGTGAACAACTATAATTTAAAATTTAATTCAAATAAAACAAGTTTCCTTTATAACATGGAGTTTGTAACAATGCATGTCTGACATCCTATTAACTGGGTGTGTGGTGATGACAGTCAACAGGCTGTCCTTTAACTTTAATGGTGCATTCGATTATTTTCCTGTCCAAGTCGGAACTCGAATGAAAACATCCCGTCGGAAACACGGCTCTTTTATGACACTGATGTCGAACAGAATTTTCTTGTCCGAGTTTCCCGCGACGTAATTTCAACATGGTGGCTTACACACTCAACAGTAATTCTATTTTAAAAATCTTTAAAAATGTTTATTTTGTTAAATGCATTAATAGTTATAAATGTAATTGCACGTGTTCGATTTAGAGAATACCATATCATGACCGTAAACAGTATCCTAGCATGCAATATCAGATTTTTACCAGACTTGTTAGTGTCTTTGGTTTGTTTGTAGTTTGTTTGCCTCTCGAAAAAAGAATAATCACTATGAATGTACTAAAACATTTTATAAAGCTTTTAATTTGGTTTGACTAGATCGTGTGTCTTGTTTGTATCTTGGAAAAAAGAATCTCACTCCAAATCTGCTAAAATATAAAGCAACAACACACAGCAGCGTGTTCATGGAGGCAGCCATGTTTGTTCCGAGATGTGGTAGCTCAAACGGGAGATTGTCAGACGTGATGTCACTCAACTCGGAATTTCCGAGTTCCGAGAGAAAAACAAACGCACTATAAATGCACTAGTTAGCCGTTTCACCCCCATGAAACAGATCAGTATTTAATGTCCCTTGTAGAAAGCTTGCCTCGAACTTGCTCTGCTGTTATAACTGCTAGAGGATGTTACTTTGGTGAATCAAAGATATGACATTTTCTTGCTAATAAAGGTACATACTGTAAATTTATTGGCTAGGAAAAAATAATGAGTATAATTTTAGCAAATGTTAAGTAACATGCAAATGTAGAAAATGTGTGGAAAAACTTAGCGCACAACGTAATAAAAACTCAAAAATATGCATAATAAATATATAATAGGCACATAAATCAATTTTAAGGTGAACAATTTCTCATAGTAATAACCAAAAATTAGAAACAAAAAGTAAACTGTTTGAGAGGCTGGAAAAAGATGCTGCTTTCATTTAAGACCACAGCATGTAGTCTGAAGTAGTGAAATAGATACATCGGGCACGGCTCTCTCTGCTGTACTGACGAGGTAAAAATGGTTATGATTTTCCATAATAACTTACTTTTTTTTTTTTTATTACAGAGGTTATTCATACCACAGGATATGCATCATGAGACCACGATACAAAATCACATTTTTGTACCATGATACACTATATTGCATTGGGACACCCCTTCAAATCATTGAATTCAGCTGTTCCAATTACTTTCGTAGCCACAGGTGTAAAAGCAAGCACCTAGGCATGCAGGCTGTTTCTACAAACATTTGTGAAAGAATGGGTCACTCTCAGGAGCTCAGTGAATTCAAGTGTGGTATGATAGGATACCACCTGTGTAATAAGTCCATTCGTGAAATTTCCTCACTACTAAATATTCTACAGTCAACTGTAAGTGGTATTACAACAAAGTGGAAGCAACTGGGTGGTTGCCAGGAGAACTGTACTTGCCTGACTGTATTGTGCCAAGTGTGAAGTTTGGTGGATGGGGGACTATGGTGTGGGGTTGTTTTTCAGGGGTTGGGCTTGGTCCTTTAGTTACAGTGAAAGGAACTTTAATGCTGCAGCATTCAAAGCCATTTTGGACAATTTCATGCTCCCAACTTTGTGGGAGCAGTTTGGGGATGGCCCCTTCCTGTTCCAACATGACTGAGCACCAGTGCACAAAGCAAGGTCCATAAGGACATGGATGAGCGAGTCTGGTGTGGAAGAACTTGACTGGCCAGCACAGAGCCCTGACCTCAACCAGATAGAACACCATTGGGATGAATTAGAGCAGAGACTGAGAGCCAGACCTTCTCATCCAACATCAATGCCTGACCTCACAAATGCTCTCCTGGAAGAATGGTCAGAAATTCCCGTAAACACACTCCTAAACCTTGTGGACATCCTTCCCAGAAGAGTTGAAGCTGTTCTAGCTGCAAAGGGTGGGCCAACTCCATATTAAAGTCTATGTATTAAGAATGGGATGTCATTAAGGTTCATGTGTGTAAAGGCAGGTGTCCCTATACTTTTGGCAATATAGTGTATATTGAATTTTGATATTGATATTTTCCCATCCCAAATGGACACAATTTTAAACGCTCAATCATAAATTATCATCATATTGCCCACCACTAACCTACAGAACAATCTACTCATTCTTCCCCCAGAGATGCATTCTAGCAGGTTCATTTGAAAAACCACTACAGGTAAAGTAAATACAAGTGGCTTTCAAACCAGCGAGGAGCTACTGCACTTCCAGCAGTAACTGGCCAAGATCATGAGCTAAACGCTGTTACAAATGGAGTGTAACGAATCCCAGAGCACAGGCTTGAGGGGCGCTCAGTGACCTTCATATGACATGTGTGCCAGGGATGGGCGAAATGGCCAAAATGTCAGGTCATATATTTTCGAATAGAATCAACCGAATTAAATACACATGACAATATGGCAAATTTATATAGATTACTACCTTTTGGGAGGCGTGATGTGCCTCAGTTAAATTTTAGGCTAATCTGCGTATTGAATTGTGGGTGAGTAAATGCCCATATAGTACCGAAAAGCCAGTTCCCGGCCAAATTTTTGCACCTGTCATCTTAAGCCCTGGTGATCATTGTGCATGCGCACATATTGTTATGACATCATTTTAAAGATAAAAACCTATCAGACAGTTTTCACAGACAGAGAACTACACGAGACAGACACACAGAGGGTTCAGGATCTTGTTCTGCAGTTTCCCTTAAGTCACTGTGACGGCAGGCTCCCTTACCTCCACGGCCGCCGCCTCGTCCTCCTCCTCTCCCACCACCCCTACCGCCCCTGGCAGGCCCCTTCTCTCCAGGCGGCCGGGGCAGGAATCGCTGGAGGGGCAGGAGCTTCATTGGGTCTATGTAGAACTGGGTGGGGGGGGGACGGGGTAAGATCAATGAGAACCAGCAAGCTACTTTCCACACTAAAATATCATTTTGTTCTTTTACTAATGTTATTGTTGTGAATTTTCTGCTGATCGGCAGCTTTTATTAAATTATCCCAGTCTTACTGGAACTGAAACAGTAATCTTTAGGACATTACCTTCTGTAGTTTCTTAAAGGAAGAGGCCTTCATGTTTTCTGAAAGTTTCACTGAAAAATACTGTCATCCGGTTAAGGGTTCTGACAGAAAAAGCCACATGACTGCACACACATTACACTGATTACTATAACTGTTTGCCCTCCGTTTATCTTATCTTTTCTGATCCTTATCCTAGTCAGGGTCACAAGAGGGGCCAGGAGCCCATCCCAGGCAGCATAAGACACATGGCTGGGATACACCCTGCACGGGAGGCCTGCCCATTACAAAACAAAGGGTGCTTTCACACTGAAGTTCCAGAACCTGAGCTGTCTTGACCTGGAACTTCTGTAGCTCCTGTCCACTTTCATGTGTCACTTTCACACCACACAACAGGAACAGGGACCTTTATGCTAAATAAGCATGGGAGATGAATTTAGGTTAAACTTCACACATAATTTCATACAAAACTACACCACCACCCCAAAACAGAGGGTGAACAAGTCGTTTCGTTAGTAATTAGGCAGATTGATCATGATCAAAATGGGACACAGTCTTTTATTTATATGAGCCTCGACATGTTTTTGATTCCTTATTGTATCTGGGAAGCAGATTGATCTTTGATTCACCATAAAAAAAAGATGAAATGTTATTCTGCTAATAAGCACTGGCAAATTTCACTGCTATTTTGATGTACTGAAAATGAAAATCTAAAAAGATCCTGTCCCTGTATTTCCATATTTAAGATAAACCTGGCGCCGGGGCTTGTGATCAACCAATCAGGAAGGGATCGCTGTAAGCGCCTCCCCAGCAGTTTGTGTTTGAACAAAAAGTACCTAGTCTGGAGTAGGGACTAAAAATGGGTTCCGGAAGCTCCAGGTACCATATACAAGTTCTGGTTCCTGAACAAAGTACCTGCAGTGTGAAAGTGCCCAAATACACACATTCACAATTATATACTATGAGCAATTTATGGATAACACTGTCATGTTACATTTAAGAATAACACTGCCACAGGACAAAGGTTTGAATGTTAAAATTATAAAAGGATACAAAATCGCGGAGTTGGCCAAAGATTTCGTCCACTTTTCCAATCTGCTCCTTGTTCTCCAGGTAGACGGGAGCGTTGAAGTAGGGCACCTTGTTCTCCTCCGTGACGCACTTGCACACAATGTCATCTTCACACGGGTGCATGAACTCCCCCAGCTCTATGACCACCCCCCCATCCCCCAGAAAGAGTCAGCTGGTGATGAGATGCAGCTAAACATTGAATGCTATTAAGCAAACTTCAGAAAGGCAGCAGATGTCGGCACTTCATTTCAATGCAACTCTTCAGAGAGTGACAAAAAAATTCATGCATTATTTTATCATCTGTATTATTCACAATATAAAACTATTTCATGGTATTTTATTAAAATTAAAAGTCCTGACACTAATATCTGCTAGGGCAGCATATTTTTTATTGTTTTACCTGTGTGTCAAGAACAGTTGTCACGTTTTTTAATAATAAAAATATATATATATATAAAAGTATATTTAAAAAGAAGTGAACATGACAATCACAATAAAGTGAACTTGTTCTTAATGTACTGCAGTGTGATTAAAATATCAATTCTTTATTCAAAATAAATTATGCTATACCAAATTATCCAGTAGTAATTCAAGTTAAGACAATTTCTCAGATATACTCCGAAAAGTTCCTTCTCTCCAACTTCGCTGTTTCTTTTCAATGCTCCAGTGCCATTACATGGGGTTCAGCTTCTGTTCAGTCTTACCTACTACATATTCCGGGGGACCGTAGTCTTGGTATCTGTTGAAACCGCCACGGCCGCCCCCTCGAAATCCGCCTCCTCCACCCCGGCCTCCGAAGCCTCCCCGTCCACCTCCCCTGTTAAACCCACCACCTCGACCTCCTCTGAACGACATATTCCCACGGAGCTAAGTGGGGGGAAAGAACAGAGGATAAGTATATGCACTGGACTCCTCGTTCTACAATGACAGCATGAATTCCATGAAGATTAATACAACACACGTGCAAAATATTTCGCCAAGGTTACACCTCCACCCATTTCTACAACACAAATATACAGTGAAGGAAAAAAAAAACACAAAAAACATACATATGGCAATATAGCTCTACTGGACGATATGCTTGGAGTAAAGCTATTAATTTACAAACTAAATCACTTTACAAACAGCCTCTTCTGCAAGTTTAAGGCTGGACATCTGCAAAATATATTCTATACAACACCAACTAGTTTCTTACCTCTCAGAGACGTTTGTTCCTAACAAAAGTTATTCCTGCAATGAAAGCACACTACTTCCATCCGCACGTGGATCTCAGCACTCTGAATTAGACGTCCCACTAAATTACCGTAATTTCACCACGTTGTAGAATGTATCCGAAACAACGATAGCAGTATATAGTTATTACACCGGAATAATAACTGCATTCTTAGTCAAAATATTTGAAAATAATACAAAATATTTTTCGACAACATCGAATTTTATATAAAATGTAGAACCTATGAGCTATATGAAAGAATGCATTTTCGTACATACCTTTATTAAAATATTACGGCTTTTACGTCATTAGCTTGTGTTTCCGTTTTGGGAAACAGGAAGTCATCTGGTGTGTGACTGTAAAACACTTCCGGCTACAGCTATATGTCATGTGACATTTATTCCGAACTCTTCTGCGGAGCTAGGGTGTGTGTATTGCGATAAATTGTTAAACCTAAAACGTAAATATAAGGGTTTGTATAATTTACGTCGATATTTGAGTAAGTAATATGATTGTATTCGTTTTAATGATCGTTTGAGTGACAACAGATTGTATGGTTAACAAGAAGTACCGTGAGCTTAATAGTTAAAACACTGGCTTTCAGCATTAAAACATTTCTGGTGGCTGTGTTAGTTTATCACATATATGGATTTTTTTTTTCTTCTTTTTGCAGGGTTCTGTTCTTCCGGGAAATAACAATGTCAGCACATTTGAATATGGGTGATGTATGTATGTATGTATGTATGTTATGTTAATAGTTGGCTGGTATATTATTATGGGGTAGTTCTGTAATGAATAAGGTTAAAGAATTCATAATTGTCATATGATTAGCAAGGCATTCACTGTGATGTGTATTTTTTATAACATGACTGCATTGTAGAACATAAAAGTGAATTTGCCTTTATCATTTTAATAAACGTGTCACAGTGTCATATTTGTTGTAATGGACCGCTTTCTAATTTCCATAATGGTAGTTATTTTTTACTTATTGCAGGATTTGAAAAGATATCTTTACAAACAGTTGCCAAGGTTGGTTAACTTTCATATTTGTAATCACTTGCCAGGAAGTGACAAGTTCATGCACCAAGCAAACAAACTTTCATTACATTTTATTGTTTTTACATAATAATAATGATAACAATTATTCTACTAATAATAAATAATAAAACAAATACAGCTGATGTTGTTAGCAGGAGAAACTAGGCTGTACATTTTATCATTCTTGTTGTGTGTCCCTTCTCCGACCTCCAGTGTAGAGGGTCTGCACGCAATTGTGGTGACTGACAGAGATGGAGTTCCAGTAATTAAAGGTGAAATAACATAGCATATATTTTGGGTGGGCCTGACATTAGTTTGCATTACCACTAAGCCATCTGAGAGGAGGAAGTTTACAATACAAAGCCTGTCTCCCTGTCTCTAGTTGCCAATGACAGCGCCCCAGACTACGCACTCAGGCCTGGGTTTCTTTCTACCTTTGCTTTGGCAACAGACCAAGGCAGCAAGCTGGGACTCTCTAAAAACAAAAGCATCATCTGTTACTACAACATGTACCAGGTGAGCCAGTTTATGTGTCACACGTCATAAAGCCTGGTTCAGTGGCCACTTAAGACTCTCAAAACCACACACATCTAAAGGTGAACCCCTTAGTCAACTGGGCACATATCCAGTTTACCATCCTCTTTTGCTTTGTCTGAGTAATTTTCTTAATAATGTACATGACTTCCCCTCATTTTGTATGGTTAATGTCCCACATGGTATCTTTCCATTGTATTTTTCAGATAACAGTAATGTAAGATTATGTTGTATTAACACATATTTCAATGAAATGTTTAAGTTCTCACAAAACAAATATACAGGTAACTACTGAAATTAAGTCAATATTTGAGTTCATGAGGAATATGGCATATATTGATGGTACATATTGTCAGATGAGTCAATGTGCTTATGGAAGAGACCAGAAGAAGCTGACAGACTCGAGTTTCTGGTGAAATTTCTGACAGCTCAGTCATGGTGAGCGATACCTGTTCTTGGTATTGTAAATTATTGTAAATACAGCCACTGAAAAGGGGGAAATCGTTTTTCTTTATTGAAAATGTTATAGGACTATAGCAATTACATTGAAGAGCATATTTTTATTATATTATTGCTAATTACAGAGTTCTTGGTCAAGCAGAGGATAAAAAACAAACATTGATATCCTTGCTTGTTGGCCAGGCGGGGGTGGTGTGTGGCTCTGCATGTTAGGATACTCATCCCGTGATCGGAAGGCTGCCACTTCAAATCCCAGTGTCTGCAGAGTGATTTTCTCATTGGACCCTTGAGCGAGGCCCTTAACCCCAATTGGCTGACCCTGCTGTCACAGTTGTGCATTTTGGATAAAAGCATCTGCTAAATAAATGAACTAAGAAAATATCCCATTTTTCACTTCTCGGTCAGATTGTGCAGTTCAACCGGTTACCTCTGGTGATCAGCTTTATTGCAAGCAGTAGTGCCAATACAGGTAAGACTGCCTTTTTGAAAGTGTTTATATAATATATTTTTTTAACACACGCTTGATCATGTGTACTGATATGGCTGCAGCCTACCCCTGTGTGAATCTGATGAGATTTGAGGCAGCCTGTTCCTGTGCCTGGTCTTAGTCTGGTGTCTTGTGATTAGGCCTGATTATCAGCCTGGAGAAGGAGCTGGTCCCGCTGCTCGATGAGCTGAGGCAGGTGGTGGAGGTGTCCTAGGCGAGGAGCACGACGTATGGGGCGACACGGAAACATCGCAAGGCTCCAACCCACATGTCTGTGCAGAGAGCCTGTGTGTGTTTGTGCAATCAACTCCTTGCCAGTTCCTCTACACACACATCAACTGGAAGACTGGGGTCAAGAGTCACTTTTGTAGAAAGTACAAACTTTTAAAAAATGTTCAATGATTTTTTTTTTTGTGAAGAATACTTAATATATACACATTTCCTTGTTAGTGTTTCCTTTTAAACCATTTATACGTCCATCCCTATAAATGCCAAGAACAAATATCTTCATCTCGGACAAGCACTGTTCAAACTTCAAATGTAAACTAATGTAATATAGCACCTTCTTGTCTGTTGCTTGGATATTTTAAATACCAATAAAATGGTTTGACAAGACTGCATACAATTATGGTTTCATGGCTTTAGATGAACCAGGATATGATTTATTTATGAGCTCTCTCTTTGTGTAAAGTCTCCTTTTGTTTGCCAATATTTACTATATTAACATGCCGAGTTGTCCAGTAGAACATAAGTATTTGCAGTTTTGCTTTATGGGTGATTGCTGTTTTTTTAATCTTTATAATATTGACCCACCTAGATCAACTACCTGCATGTTGGTTTACTAATATTCCATGTGTAGAAGAAAGCTGTACTGCCTCTTTGTTTCATTGGTACTTACTGTATCTCAGAGACTTGTGAAAGGCACGTTGGTGCTTTAATTTGTATTAATATATTTCATTTGTAAATTACAGGTCAATTCTGTAACTCTTACAAGAACTTTTTGAATGAATGAATTCATGTAATACCAAATAACACACAACTCAAAAACTACATTGCCATATCTTTATTGAGAACATATAGTTTAAATATTACAGGTTACTGATGGAAAAAGTATGTCAACCCTTATATTCTGTGACTGCTAAAACCTCCTGTAATGGCTAAACCCTTGACCAAATGCTTTCTGTAGCTGCTTATCAGATCTGTGCAGCGCTCAAGAGGTACAGTGCCAGTCAAAATTTTGGACACACCTACCCACAGAAAGGTTTATTTGCAGTGTTGTCTTTATATTTTTTCTAAGATGTAGACATCAAAATTAAAATACATATGGAATTATGCAAAGACCAAAAAAGTATTCAATAAAGAAAAAATGTTGCAGGGAAGGAGCTCTGTGGGTTGAGACTCAGAAGGTTGCTGGTTCAAATCCCTGGGTCTGTAGAGTGATCCCTTCATTAGGCCCTTAAGCAAGGCTCTTACTCCCAGTTTCTCCAAGTACTGGTTGACCCTACTGTCTCCTGCACACCACTTTCAGGAGGTGGCCTCCTGGGATGCTTTCTAGCTGTCCTAAATGAGGTCCCACAGATGCTGAGCACTTATTGGACACTTTTCCTTCACTCCCTGGTCAAAACCATTTCTACTGTGTTTAGGTCAGGTGGCCAACTGGTGGTGTGATGCTAGATGGCTTGGTGTGTCCAAACTTATGACTGACACTATTTTGGCCAGTCCTCGATACAGAACTGTCACGCTGCAGCTTCTCCATGGGATCGAGGTCAGGACTCTGACTTGGTCATTCTAAAATAGGAAACTCCTTCTGTGGGGGTTACTCTGCTGCTGATTTGATGAAAATGCATTTTAACAATGATATTTTTCAATATTTATGAATACAGTAAGTTACACAACAACACAGCATTCTTATATTACACGTGGTGATGTTTAACTGTAAATGTTCCCTCTAAAAGGAGGCATACAGCAGGAGCCAAGTTCAAACACCCATGATAATAAAGTGTGGTCCACAGGTGCTTGAGACAGTTTCACAACACGGTCCTCAGGGATCCCCTGCCAGTCCACGTTTTATACTCCCTCCCAACCCCATGCCAGAGTGTCCCTCCCAGCTCCTGGGACTGTCTGGGGGTGTCCCCAAGGACCGGGTTGAGAAAGACTCTTAAAATGATGTCAGCCTGGTGCACTCTACTTGATAAACATCACAGGGGCTAAAGTAAAGCAAAGCAATAGCCTGTATTTAACAGTCTGCCGCGAGAGTTAACATGAAAATATAACCAGAGGTGAGAAGTATGTAAATGGCAAAGATTACATTCACAGATGCTCCTCGACTTGCGATGGGTTTAAGTTCCGAAGAACTTTTCATAAGTTGACAGTATAGTAAGGTCATGTCAGGTTGGGGAGCATGCGCTGTGTTGCCGCACCCACCACACAGCGAAACTCCTTGGGGTCCAGGTTGGTAACCCCCCAGGCAGACACACGGTCTAGTCCCACCCCCCGGAAATGGCCATCCATCTGCTGCAGCCAGGTGGTACATGGGCATCCCTTCGGCCTGGTCCAGCCACTTGGGTCCTCAGCAATGAGGACCCTGTAAGCCGGATCACCCTCAGTGAAACGCGCCACATGGCCGTAGTGCTGTAACTGACGCTCCCTCACAATGCAGGTAATGTGCCTCATTCGGGATTCCTCTAGAAACCGCTCATTTGACACAAAGTGAAACCAGCAGTACTGAAGGATTCTACGAAGAGACACAGTACCAAAGGAGTCCAGTCTTCGTCTCAGCTCACTGGATCACGTCCATGTCTCCCAGCCATAAAGCAAGACCAGGAGCACCAGGACTCTAAAGACTTGGACCTTCGTCCTCTTGCAATGATATCGGGAGCCACACACCCCTTTCCAGCGACCTCATGACCCCCCATGTTCTCCCAATCAGTTTAATGACTTCATAGGAAGAGTTCACATGGATGTCACTGCTGAGATAAGTAAATCTCTCAGTCGATAATCTCCCCACAGACAGACACACTACTGATGGCTGTGGCTAAGAAGTCGCCTGGATCTTGGTCTTTATCCAGGACACCCACAATCGCAGACATTTAGACTCCTCAGTTAGTCTCTCTAGAGCCACAATCTGAGCCTCCATTGACTCTGCTAAGTTCACTGCATCGTAGACAAATTCAAGATCAGTAAATCTTTCTTCACCAACAGATGCCCCACAGCTGCTGGACCCCACAACCCTGCCCAACACCCAGTCCATACAAGCATTGAACAGAGTAGGAGCAAGAACACACCCCTGGTGAAGCCTAGAATCAACTGGGAAGAACACAGAGGTTCTCCCTCCACTCTGCACAGCACTCACAGTACCAGTGTATAAGCCGGATATGACGTCCAACAACTTCAGGGGGAGAGTCAAACGCTTTACGAAAATCGACAAAGGCTGCAAAGAACCTCTGCCGATATTCACGCTTGTGCTCGATGAGAACCCTCAGTGCCAGGATATGGTCAATGGTAGACTTCTTAGGCATAAAACCAGACCGCTCCGGTCGCTGACAGGCGAGGAAGTGATCATGCATCCTGTTAAGGATGACCCTAGCACTACCTGGCACTGAGAGCAGTGTTATCCCCCTGTAGTTGCCTCAATCCAGGCGATAACCCTTCCCTTTCCAGATAGGGACTGAAAGTCCCATTTCAGTCAGTTGACGCCTGATGATGCCTGACTTCCAAATGGGATATAGTAAGCTGAATATAAATATGATATTATAAATAAGTAACTGTACAATATGTTGTTTAGCACTGTATGACGTGTTTACGCAGTCACACTTCCAGTCTCTGTAGCGATTGTGAGTGTAGATACTGCCATTGCCCGGAATCAGTATAGATTATCGTACGGCATATCGCCCGGGAAGAGATCAGAATACAAAGTGTGCTCTGAAGACTACTAAGTGTGGATCAGTATCACATCATCGTAAAGTCAAACCATCGTGAAGCGAGAAGCATCTGTATATAAAAATATGTAATATACAAAATAAATTAATAATAAAAATAAAAAAAAACAGAAAAAAAATGGTGAGGACAAGATTTTACAATCCTGATTTTTTTTTTTTTGAGAGAAAATAGCTAGGCTTTCATTTCAAAGTCCAACCACCTCACAGAGAACTCCTTCACAGAACAATCGAACTTGCTGTCTGCCAATTCTGACCATTGCAGAATTCCCCAAACCACTTTAGTGCAAATAGAATGGTATGAACACCATATTTAACAGGAACTATGTTTACCTAAGACTTTCACTTAATGGATCATCGCTACCGGGATTCACTCCGGATGCTGTCTTCTCTGTCATCGACCTTTTTTTATCTGTGACTTGAAGAAAGACACAAGGGGGTATGTTACTAATTTAAGATTAATTAGTATGTCTACAGCAGTGCAATGAGACAAGCAAAACAAACCACTTCACAGACCACACAGCAGTATCAGTGGGAATTGTAAATCTTAATAAAACAGTTAAAAAAGAAAAAAGCGTAGCCTTCTATTTCAAACCCTTACATATTAAACTATTGCACACTATACATAAATATTCCACTTCTGCACATCTTCAATATTATTTACTGTTTTGTGGTCTATTTGCCCATCCGTATCGCCATTGCATCCTATGCATTATTTATTCTTCTCTTATTATTGTTGTCCCTCCATTCACCTGCCCCCTCCCCTGCAATTGTTACTCAGAACAGATATGACAATAGAACTTAACACTTAATATATGGATGCATATAGGATAAGTAGATGCATGGATCAGGGCCTGATAAAGAAAAAAAAAATAAAAAATTCAAAAACATAATCCTGCTTGTTCTTTGACCGATATTTGTATAACTGAAATTGATGTGCTACAAAGCCTAGCTAAGCTCAAAATAAATAAATCGCAGAGCCCTGATGGCATCTTACCTATAGTTTTAAAAGATATGAGGGATATTTTTAGCCAACCTTTAACTTTAATATTCCACAAATCGTTATCTGCGGGTGTGGTACCATCAGATTGGAAGCATGCTAATATAACACCCATATTCAAAAAAGGGGATAGAAGTAATCCAGCAAACTATAGGCCAATCAGTTTAACTTGCATAACTGAAAAAGTAACGGAAGCTATAATCCAAATGAAAATGGTAGATTACCTGCATTCGAATAACATTCTAAGGGATAGCCAAGATGGATTTAGGAGAGGTACTTCCTGTTAGTGAAGTACAAGCTAAAACCTTTGCTTACTTTAAATCAGAGCTAGATAAGTTTTTAAACAATTTTAAATCAGCTGAATTCTCCCCAAACGAGATTGATGGACCAAATGGAATCCTCTCGTTTGTAAATATCTTATGTTCTAATGTGAAAAACAATATTTACACAGATGCACACCGATAAGCAAGCAGGACTCGGCTTGCAGAGTAGGAGTCCCAAGAAGCTCTAATCGTAGCAATATAATCACACAAGACATGCTGTGCTGATTTTGAACACAACGGGTGACAGTAGGACATTCACAATATGTTAATTTCCCCACTCATACTCATGGTCACATTCTTGATTTGGTTTGCTCCAATGGTCCCACAATAAACAATCTCTCCAGCCATAATCTTTGCATATCTGACCACTTTGCCATAACTTTTAACATACAAATCCCACTCACAGCCCATAAAGCAAAACGTACAATAACCTTCAGAAATCTAAAATCCATTGACACTTCTGCTCTTTCTGTTCTTCTTTCCTCTA